GCTCCACCGAATGCCCCAGTGGCTGCGTTCGCATGCGGTTCCACCCTCCATTTCGGCACACCCCTCACACGTCTTGTGGCCCCATGGGGAGCTCCACCGAAGGCTCAGTGGCAGGGTTCGCATGCAGTTCGACCTTCATTTCGACGGACCCCTCACACGGTTCGTGGCCCGATAGGGAGCTCCACCGAAGGCCCCAGTGGCTGCGTTCGTATGCAGTTCCACCATCATCTCGGCGCACCCCTCACACGGTTCGTGGCCCCATAGGGAACTCCACCGAAGGCCCTATTGACAGGGTTCGCAGGCAGTTCCACTTTCATTTCGGCGCACCCATCACACGGTTCGTGGCCCCATAGGGAGCTCCACCGAAGGCCCCAGCGGCGGGGTTCGCATGGAATTCCGCCCCCAATTCGGTGCCCCTCTCACACGGTTCGTGGCCCCATAGGGAGCTCCACCGAAGGCCTCATTGGCAGGGTTCGCAGGCAGTTCCACCTTCATCTCGGCGCACCCCTCACACGGTTCGTGGCCCCATGGGGAGCTCCACCGAAGGCCTCAGTGGCAGGGTTCGCATGCAGTTCCACCCTCATTTCGGCGCACCCCTCACGCGGTTCGTGGCCCCATAGGGAGCTCCACCGAAGGCTCCAATGGCAGGGTTCGCATGCAATTCCACCGTTATTTCGGCGCACCCCTCACATGGTTCGTGGCCCCATAGGGAGCTCCACCGAAAGCTCCAGTGGGAGGGTTCGCATTACACCACCGCGTCCAATCCGGCACACCCCTCACACTGTTCGTGGCCCCATAGGGAGCTCCACCGAAGGCTCCAATGGGAGGGTTCGCATGGCACCACCGCGCCCAATTCGGTACACCCCCTCACACGTCTCGTGGCCCCAGAGGATGCTCCACCGAAGGCCCCAGTGGGAGGGTTCGCAAGGTACCACCGCGCCCAATTCGGCACGCCTCTCATACGTTTCGTGGCCCCATAGGGAGCTCCACCGAAACCGGTACCCACAATGCGGTACTCGCAGCTGCATGTGGTTGGGTCTCTCTTTTTTATATTTATTAAAACATGAAAAACTTCTAAAACAGAAAAACTAAAAACATGTTTTTGACACTCGATCTTGCAACCCTCACGACACGGAAGGTTTTTGACGGATTTCGGAATGCGCGCGCGACGACGCGCGCGCGTGCACTTCGCCACATTTTTTGTGCAAAGGATTCTCGCGACGGCACGAGCGCAAAGACGTTCGAACGATTTCGACACGCGCGCGCGCGAAGCTTGATTGGTAACATTCTGCGAACATTATGAACAACCAACAATTTTCTTAAGAATTGGCATGGGCGCGCGCAAACTTTTTTTGGCAATCCGTGTCGCGAAACCTTTTGTTTTCAGGTGTTTTTTGGGCACTCGATTTTGAAATCCTTACGATACTGAATTTTTTTGAACAATTTCGGCATACGCGCGATGACGCGCGCGTGTGCACTTCGTCCCGTGTTTTTCAAGGGGATGTTGAGAACTGCTGATTTTTCTCCACATCCAAAGGGGGTTTCTTGTTTTCTCTGCACAACCCCCGCGCAGGATCTCTTCCCCCCTCCCCTCCTCCTCCTCCTCCTCCTCCTCCTCCTCATCCTCATCATCATCATTGTCATCCTCCTCATTGTCCTCATCATCACACACTCTCACACGCTCACACACACTCACTCCCCCTCCCCGCCTCACCCGCTCACTTCATCGTCATCACTGACACACTCACTCACACCCACAGTCACTCACACACTCACGCCCACCATCATGATCACCGTCATCTTCATTCGATCACCCACCCACCCACCCACCCACTCACTCACTCACTCGCTCCCTCATCATCTTTAACATCCACTCACTCATCATTATCATCACTCACTCACTTCTCATCTCGTCACCACACACTCCCTAGATTGAATTTGGAAGTATCAAGCGGGAGCTTCGTCTGCGAGTGCATTGTGGGGAAGTCTCAGGCGGGAACCCCCTCCCTATGGGTCCCGCACTTCACGTTGGTTACCCGAGCGGGTCATCCTCAATCTTATAACTGTCGTCACGTTTGGGCTCCTGAGGCCTGAAGATGAAGGAAGTATCAGGCGGCAACCCCACCTGTGAGCGACTTGTGAAAAAGTCTCAGGCGGGAACCGCTTCCTTATGGGTCCCGCACTTCATGTTGGTCATCCGAGCGGTTCATCCTCAACCCTGTAACTGTCGTCGCTTTTTGGCTCTTGAGGCCTGAAAGTAAAGGAAATATCAGGCGGCAGCCTCATTTGAGAGTGAATTGTAAGGAAGTCTCAAGCGGGAGCTCCTTCTTCATGGGTCCCGCATTTCATGTCGGTAATCCGAACGGGTCGTCCTCAAACCCGTAACTGTCGTCACTTTTGGGCTCCTCAGGCCTGAATTCAAAGGACGTCTCAAGCGGGAGCTTCGTCTGCGAGTGAATTGTGAGGAAGTCTCAGGCGGGAGCCCCCTCCCTATGGGTCCCGCACTTCACGTTTGTAATCCGAGCGGGTCATCCTCAAACCCGTGACTGTCGTCACTTTTGACCTCCTCAGGCCTGAACTCAAAGGAAATATCAAGCGGGAGCTAAGTCTGTGAGTGAATTGCGAGGCGGTCTCAGGCGGGAGCCCCTTCCCTACGGGGCACGCGCTTCGTGTTGGTAATCCGAGCGCGGTCGACGCGACGCGCGGCGTCTGGGCGTGCCCCTCGTTTTCCTGCAGGCCGTGGACGGGTGCAGCACGACTCAAAGCGACCCAGACGCGGGCCGGCGCCTCCTGAACGTCCCGAACATGCACAGGACGGGGGACATCGACGGCGTCTTACCGGCACACGTCGGCAGGAGGTTCGGTTCACGGCCGTGAAGGAGGAGCTGAATCAGAAGTTGGGGCTCGTGCTAGAGCAACGGGCCAGCATCGTGTCCTTCGAGTTTCACCCAGACGACGAGCAGGGGGACGAGGAGTGCGCGCCGGGCCAGCTCTTTCGCCCCCGCTACCTATTGCAGGGAATCTGGCTGCAGGTCCACGGTTTCAAGGAGTCCCCGATCTACGATGAGGTCGCCGAAATGCTGCTGCAGGGTGCCGAAGGCGCTGACGACGGCGGCGAGGCCGAGGTGCGGGCGAGGAACTTGCTGATGTTAAGGCCCAGCGATCAGGAGTTCACGTGGCAGAGCTCGGGGACGCACGTCGTGCGCCGCTCGGGATTCATCCTGACACGCGCGTCTTACCTGACTTCCACGCTGTCGCAGGGCCAGATGCTGCACAAGGGCGTCACCGTTGACTGCGCCAGGGATGCGGGCGCTGGACGCACGGGCGTGTCACCCGAGCAATGGTGGCTGGACCTCTACGTCATGTTCTCCCGCGCCACGCGCAAGCGGAACATGCTGATTTTGCGGTCGCCCCCGCGAGACATCCTGGAACGCGGGCCGCTGGCGCCCCTGCGGAAGGCGCTCCGGGATTTCGACGAGAAAGCGAAGAACTCCGGCGATGGGGCCGAACAGCTCGCCGCGGAGCTTGGCTTCGTGCTGCTCCCGCCTGAGCGCCGCGGCGCGCAGCTAGAGGCCCGCGGGGTTGTCCCAACGGTCTGGCCCGCGGGGTTGTCCCGACGGCCTGCCCCCGCGCCCAAACGGCCCGCAGGGTTGTCCCAAAGGCACGGCCCGCGGGGCTGCCCCAAAGGCTTCGCGAACCAGCCGTGGGTGAACGCGCGCGCGCTGGCCGAGGCGGCGACGGCGCCGAGGAAAATCGATTTGCATGCCCCGACCAAGGGGAAGTGGGGGAGTTCATGGAGAAGAAGCAAGGGAAGGATGAGGATGGGGAGGGGGTCGGGAGAGGGTGATGATGAGGAGGGGGTGGAGAAGGAGAAGGAGGAGGAGGATAAGTATAGGGAGGAGGAGAAATAAAAGGAGGAGGAGGAGGAGGAGGAGGAGGAGGAGGAGGAGGAGGAGGAGGAGGAGGAGGAGGAGAGAGAGCAGAGCATAGGGCGAGAGGAGGGTGTCGGCCAGGGCGAGGAGGGAAGGGCTGAGGGCAAGCCAAATAGATGCTCATGTGGGGTCCTTCCGTCGGAGTCGTTGATAAACGAATGTGCGCGCATAGTACTTTTGCAAAGGATGGCGGGGGTGGTGGTGGCCGATACCGTCCCCACTGGGATGGCGTGAACTCATAGTTTTGATGGATGATGGGGCAGAATCACATGTAAATTGCAATACGACAAGGTGAACCGATAATCCCGGGGGGGTGGGGGGTAGAGTCTATTCTCCTTGAAGAAAGGAGAATCGACGTGCTGCAGTATAGGCGGTGCAATGTACGTTGTGCATCGGTGTTGTGCAATCTTTGTGGAGCAATCTAGGTTGTGCAGCCTATGTGGTGCAATCCATGTGGTGTAATGTATGTTGTGCAACCTGTTCAATGCAATCGACGTGGTGCAATCTCTATGGTGCAACCTATGTTGTGCTACCTATGTTGTGCTATCTATGTGGTGCAATCGACGTGGTGCAATCTAGGCCGTGCAATCCATGTGGTGCAACCTATGTTGTACAATCCTGGCGGCGACGATGCGGCGACGGCGAGCACGGGGCCGCCAAACCGCCACCCAAGCCCAGACGACGGGCGGAGCCGAGGGAGCGACGGAGCTGCGACGGCGAGCGCGGAGCCGCCAGACCGCCGCCTAGGCCCAGTTCCCCCGACAGGAAGTGAGAACCCCTGCGTGCTAGCACTCTTCGGGGACGACTCTCGTAGGGCCCCGTGGATACGCAGCGTGGGAGGAGGGCCTGTCGCGACATCTTTGATGCGCCTTGGGCTCGCACGGGTCCTCCTCCTACCCCTCCTCCTCCTTCCCCTCCACCTCCTCTCCCTTTCGGCCTGCCCCTCCACCTCCTCCTCCTTCCCCTCCTCCTCCTCCTCTCCCTTTCGGCCTGCCCGAAATCCACCTCCTCCTCCCCCTTCCCCTCCACCTCCTCCTCCTTCCCCTCCGCCTCCTCCCCTTCGGCCTGCCCGAGATCCACTCGCACGATGGCCTCCACCTGCGCCCCGATGTCCACCCGCAGCCCGTCGAACAGCGAGGCGCCCGTGACGCGACCCTGGTACTCGGCGCCCGCCTCCAGCGACGCGGCGGGCAGCCGCTCGGCTCCAGCGAGCTCCCTGGAGGGGGGGAGGAGGAGGAGGAGGAGGAGGAGGAGGAGGAGGAGGAGGAGGAGGAGGAGGAGGAGAGGGAGGAGGAGGAGGAGGAGGAGGAGGAGGAGGAGGAGGAGGAGGAGGAGGAGGAGGACGAGGATGAGGAAGAGGAGGTGGAGGAGGAGAGGGAGGACGAGGAGGAGGAGGAGGGCCATGCGGACGAGGAGGGGGGAGGGGAGGAGAGGAAGCATGACGCTGGTGCTGATGCTGATGCTGAAGCTGATGATGATCAGGCTGCCAACGATGATGTTGATGACGCTGATGCTGCTGCTGTTGACGATGATGACGCTGATGCTGCTGATGCTGATGATGCGGATGACGATGCTGCTAATGATGATGACGGTTATGATGATGCTGATGATGATGCTGAAGATGATGATGCTGATGATGAATATGATGAGTATGATGACGCTGATGGTGCCGCTGATGATAATGCTACTGCTGATGACGACGGTGATGATGATGAGGATGATGGTGATGGTGATGATGGTGGTGATGGTCGTTCTGACTATTCTACTAGTGATGATCGTGATGGTGATGTTGATGGCGACGACGATGATAATAATGATGACGATGATGCTGATGCTGTTGATGATGCTGATTAGAATGCCGATGATAGTGAGGACGGGGAGAATGAGGAGGGGGGAGGAGGCGGAGCAGGACGACGACGATGATGATGATTCTGATACTGACGATGCTGCTGCTGATGATGATGACGATAATGATAATGATACTGATGATGATGATGATGATGAGGATGCTGATGCTGAAGATGATTTGATGCTTCTGCTGAGGATGCTGCTGCTGACGATGATGCTGGTGCTGATGCTGCTGATGATGGGGAGGATGCTGATGGTCGTGGTGGTGAATGCCGAGGGCGATGATGGCGATGCTGACGATGAAGATGATGAGGAGGATGATGGGGGATGATTGTTATCATAATGCTGATGGCCATGGTCATGATGCTGCTGCTGCAGATGATGACCAGGATGGTAATGAGGATGATGATGAACGACAGCAGCGTCCTTGGGGACTCTGTTGCCTTCAGGTCAAGGTCCAGATCCAGGAGGAGCAGGATGATAAAGATGATGCTGATGATGTTGCTGATGATGATGACGATGTTGACGATGCTGATGAAGATGATGGTGACGATGGCGGGTGACGTCGGATGCCCGGGGACGCGAGCCTTCGCCGGCAGCCGCCAGCCGCTCGGAAGGAGGAGGAGGAAGACGTACGACGACGAGGTCGACGACGACGAGGGCATGGACGACGACGGCGGCTGCGGCGGCGACAAGCGAAAGAGCAAGCTCTCTGGAGCAATCTCTCTGGAGGAGGAGGAGGACGCTGCGTGCTCTAGCATGAAGTCCGATCAACGTAAAAAAATGAAGAGGAAGAAGTGGAAGAGGAGGAGGAGGAGGAGGAGGAGGAGGAGGAGGAGGAAGGAATAATAGGAGGATGACACGGAGAAAAGGAGGAAGAAGAAGAGGCAGGAAAAGAGAAGGACGAGGAGGAGGAAGATGAGGACGAGGAGGAAGTGGACGAGTAATTTGATGAGGAGGTCCTAAGCGGTTTTGGAAGGTCTTGGATGGGCGTCTCTGCGTCTTGGCCAGAGATGCCCCCGCTCTCAGGAACTTCGCTCTCGCCCGAGACTTCCTCACAATCCACTCGGATCAGTGAACGCCCAACTGCGACGACAACGGCTCTGGCTCGACACTTCCCGTCAATCCACTCCCACGCGCGCTGCGCAGATGTGCCCGCGGCGCTCTCGCTCGAGATTTTCTCGCAGTAAATTCAACACAAGACTCGCGTTCTTGCCTGGGACCTCCTCGAAATTGAACAGCTGATCGTGCCATCGCTCAAGATCTCCTTGTAAGTTATCAGGGACTCGCGCTCTCGTGTGGGACTTCCTCGCAATCTGCTCAAGCGCCGCACCCTCGACCTTTCCGGAACTGCGCTGTCGCCCTGGACTCCGATCCCTCCTCCTCCTCCTGATCCCCCTCGCCCTGTACCGCAATCGCTCTCTCCCTCCTGACCTCTACAATTCAACGATGTGAATACTACTCTCCTCTCTCGCTGCAGCGCTGGCCTCATTTTCGCGCTTCCGCTCGTTCCGAATCGTGCTCCTGCTCTAGCGCTGGCGTCATTATTTCCAGTGCCATGCAACGGAATGCTTTTCATCTAGAAAATGCCACCCCGAAAACAGACTATCGGACGTGATTGCACATTCGGTGTCGATTCGCTGATTTTGTGGGCCGCAGAAGCCCCCTCCCCACTTTGGGGCGTCGCCACGCCATGCTGTGTCAGGCTGCGCGTCCTCAATCTCGCCGCCGCCCCCCGGCGCGCCTCGTGCGCCGGGGGAGGGGGGCTCGGCCTCGTTCCGGGAAGTCCGCGCGGACCTCATCTTCCCCTATTCCTCCTTCTCCTGCTGCCTCCTCCTCCTCCCCCTCCTCCTCCTCCTCCTCCCTCCTCATGCTCCTCCTCATTCTCCTCCTTTTCTTCTTCGATCTTGCTTTGGGCGAAGTTGAACGCCTTGTCTGTAGCGTCCGTGTGAAGGAAAAGACAATGCCAAGAGGCGGGCCTGACCTAGCAGCGCTAAGGAAGTAGACGGGCAGAAACGTGGCAATGGGAAAAACAAACAGAGCTTGCAGAGTATGCTGCATGGCCAGGTAACGCGAGGACTCCCCCCCACCGACTCCACAACCCATCCGATCCCGTCCGTGACAAGAGCCCTCAACGAGGGCAGTTCTCAGTTCAAGCCCTCCTCCTCCTCATCCACCTTCTTCGATCCTCCTCCTCCCCCTCCTCCTCCTCCACATCCTCCCACCATCAGTCGTTTTCTTTGTCTCTTGTTCCCCACCCGACAGGTTGGTGTCGTCAGATTTGAAGAACAGGCCTCCCGACCCGTCCACCCTGCATACCGCAGCCGCCAGAGTTCCAAGTCCCCCGAATGACCCCGCGAGTCCTGCCTCGCGCGCATACCGCGACCGCCAGATCCCCAGGTCCCCCGAATGTCCCCGAGAGCCCCGCCTCGCGCCACTCTACATACCGCGGCCGCCGGATCCCCAGGTCCCCCGAGTGTCCCTGAGTGTCCCGCCTCGCGCCTTCAAATCATAACATGACAGAGTGGTATTATGACATAGCAGAACATAGTACAGCACAACACGATAAACTGTGACAGAACAGAGCATAGCACCACACCTACGAACATAACATATCCGAGCACCACATACCATGCAAATACAGAGCACACCGTAAATATAACACACCATGACAAAGAAGTACACACCATAGCACAGCATCAAAACACACACCATCCCATGCAAGGACAGACAACTATAACATAAGAACGCATCGCAGAACTGAACATGCAAAATCAGAGCATGCCACAGCCTCACATAATATTACATTTCGTATCATAACACACCACATCATAACACCGGATGATATGACAGATCGGAGCATGCATAGCACAACATGGCGAGCATAACATAACATTGGAGGCAGAACATGCCATAGCACACCATGACACAACATACCACAACATAACACAGTATCTCAACACATCTAAACTGAGATATCGCATTGCAGCACATCTGGCAATCATTGCATGACAGCGCAGCATGATATGGTACACCACAGCAGAACGTACCATACCATAACACCATAAGCCATGCCATAATGGATCATGCACAACAAAGGGTAACATCACACCTCATAACATAGCACAATCGAGCACACCGTAACACACCATGGCGTACCCTGTCACAACGTACGATCACATGGCATCACATTTCTCACAGTAGCACAGCATCCAAGCACATAGCATTCCAACACATGACACATCATACCATGACAGAACGCGGCATAACATATTATAGCATATCGTACCGTAACATATCATGACGCCATACCATAACAACGCACCGTACTTCATCCCAAAACAGGACGTAATAGGACACACCATAACAACGCATGCAATGACATCATGGAGCATACACGGCATAACAACATACTACACTTCATCACAAAAAAGGGCACACCATAACATAGCGTAACAGGACATAGCATATCACTTCGCACAATGGCATGCCATATCAGAACATGACACAGGATCGCAACAATTCGTCACATGGCAAACCATACCATGACGGATCTCGGCATAGCATATCATAACATAGCAGGCCATCAGGTATTGTCACATACCATGTCCTGGCAGACCAGAGCATGACATAACGCAACACCGAACATCACATACCATACACAAACAAACCATGGCATAATGGAACACCGTGTGGTATAACATCACATATCATAACCGAGCGTACTGGAACTGTTATACGTTTCGCTGCCACGCTGGCGACGCATGTATCAAACTTCGTAGACTCAATCATATTGCAGATGGTCGCAGACATATCATGAGGTAGCGAACAGAGAACAGAGCACAACGTACTCAGCATACCATGGTATAGCTCTTTCACTACTGTTACCCCTACGGCAGCGAGCTTGACATACCACCATCTACTATACCTTCATTGGGGAGGTATGCCATTACAGAGCAGGGCATCGTATACTGTAACGAAATCAGCAGAACGTACACAACACCTCGAAGCAACACATACCATAACATTCATTTACATGACAGATAATGTTATGACAGGGCACCGCCGAACAGACCAGCATACTGTCTGAACAACAGAACCACACGTGAAGAGGAACATCAGGACGTACTGTAATATGATCAAACCCGACGTGCGTGCCGATATCAGGCTGGCCACTAGACCAAACAGGCGGAGCAACGACCGATTGGACGACGTGTCACACGTGACAGGCGTCACGACGTCACGCCAGACTGCCATTACGTCTTAGACTACTTCTACGAATACTTCTTCTTCTTCTTCTTCACTACTACTGCTACTACTACTACTCCTACTACTGCTGCGGCTCCTCTTCCTCCTACTGGTTCTTTCAGGACATGGAGTCTCGCACCACGCGTTTTGGAGGTGAGCGTTTCGCCCGAGAGTTTGTTTTGGTTTCTTTCGTCAGGGGCTCTGGGGCCGTCCGATTTCAGGAGAACGGCAACTTGCGACCTGGTCAGACCGCCGCACTGGCCGACACCACCAGGCCACGCACACATCGTTCGAATGGGCGCGAGCACAGTCGGGATCAAACGCCGAAGGCTTCTGTGGGAATCGCTCGAAGCAACATTTGGCGGCGAGCAAGGGTGGGAAATGAGAAGGAGGCCTTCTCGGAAGGCGGCGGGACTTCTCAGAAGCCCTCGCGCCGTCAGAGCAGTTTTTTGGTGCCTTCGGGGAAGGACCCGAAAGGACTCCGAGAAGGTTTCCGAGCCTCCTGCGAAGGCCCGCCCCTTCTCCCTCCCCTTCTCCCCCGGCTCGTCGCCGATCCTTTCTTTGTTGTTTTTCTTGTTTTTCGTTTTTTGTTTTACTGTTTTTTGTTATTGTTTTCTGGTTCGCCTCTGCGTCGGGCATGCTTTCGGGGTTTGGATCCCTGAGCTTCTCCTGGTCCCTCGAGGGGCCGTGCTCGACCGTCGGGCCCCAACAAGGGCCCCGGCGCTCGCCCGTGGCAGCAGAGGCCTGACCCCTCCGCCGTGGACCGCCGATCCGATCCTTCTCGTGCTCCTCCTCCTCGCTCCTCCTCCTCCTCCTCGCTCCAATCCTCGTCCTCGCTCCAATCCTCCTCCTCCTCCTCCTCCTCCTCCTCCTCCTCGCTCCTCCTCCTCCTCCTCGCTCCAATCCTTCTCCTCTTGCTCCTCCTCCTCCTCCTCCTCACTCCGATCCCCCTCCTCCTCCTGGGGGGGGAAATGGAAGAGGAGGAGGAGGAGGAGGAGGGGGAGGAGGAGGAGAGGAGGAGGAGGAGGAGGAGGAGGAGGAGAGGAGGAGGAGGAGGAGGAGGAGGAGGAGGAGGAGGAGGAGGAGGAGGAGGAGGGGGAGGAGGAGGAGGAGGAGGAGGAGGAGGAGGAGGAGTAAGAGGAGGAGGAGGAGGCGGAGGAGGAGGGCAAGGAGGCGCCTGATGCCGAACAGGTGCGGGGTCTCCCCGGAGGCCTCGCCCCGCTCCTCCGCCCGCTGCATGACGACCTGCGACGAGAAACGACGACGCCGCCGCCGCCGACGACGACGACGACGGCGGCGGCGGCGGCGACGAAGACGGCGACGACGAAGGCGACGACGACGACGACGGCGACGGCGACCGACGACGACGAGGACGACGGCGGTGACGATTGCCTCTCAAAACGAGGCGGCGGCGACGACGACGAACACGGTGACTGCGAGTGCCTCTCGAAAGCGGTACCTGGACCCCTCCCAGACACCGTCCCGGCCAGCGCTTCGCACCCGCGTTCGCCTCTGGCCACCGGACCCCCCTGGGAAGCCCATGACTGGCCACAGAAAGACGAGGACGACGACGACAGCGAAGCCGACGGCGGCGGCGACGGCGGCCTGCATCGGCGACGGCAGCGGGGACAGGAGCGGCTGCTCCAGCGGCCCGTGGTCGCCGGCGTGGCGCAGGCCGTGCTGCAGGCGCTGCAGGTGATGCACCGACAGCTGCCCCTCCTCCATTGGGGTCGGGCGTGTCCCCCTACAGGCGGATTTTGGATGACAAATAAAAGAATAGTGAACACATATACAGAAAATGCCCCCAAACGGTAAAACAGAACTCGCCCCCAGACTATTTTTTGACGATTTTTGAATATTCCTCCTGTGGAGGGACACGCCCGACTTAATCCTAGACGAATGGGGTCAGAGCAGGCGGGGTCGGAGGATGGCGCCACATCGTCGATGCATGCCTCACCGATGCATTGGCGACTTCGGCGTGGAACGGCTCGGGATCCACACCGAGCCACGCCGCCGCTACATCGGCGATGCGGTGCGATGCTCCGACCCCAGCTGCTCGCATCCCATCTGGAGATGGGCCGCCCTGTGCGCAGCTCGGAGCCTTTCTCATGGAGGATGTGCCCCTGTGGGTCTGCCGATCGAGAGTCGGAGCGAGGGAGGAGGAGGAGGAGGGAGGGAGGAGGAGGGAGGGAGGGAGGAGGGAGGAGGAGGAGGAGGAGGAGGAGGAGGAGGAGGAGGAGGAGGAGGAGGAGGAGGAGAGGAGGAGGAGGAGGAGGAGGAGGAGGAGGAGGAGGAGGAGGAGGAGGATGAGGATGAGGAGGACGAGAGAGGAGGAGGAGGAGGAGGAGGAGGAGGAGGAGGAGGAGGGAGGAGGAGGAGGAGGAGGAGGAGGAGGAGGAATAGGCGGAGGAGGGGAGGAGGCGGAGGAGGAGGCGGAGGAGGAGGAGAGGAGGAGGAGGAGGAGGAGGAGGAGGAGGAGGAGGAGGAGAAGGAGGCTGGCGTTCCTAGACCTTGGACGCCGATGCTTTGTTCTTTGTGCCCCTGTTAATCAGGCCTCCTTCGCCAGCCTCCGGAGGCTCGCCTCCTCGGACCTCCAGGGGCCGTCCAACAGAGAAAAGCCTCGGGTCGAGCCGCTGGCCTGGGAAAGGGGGCCCAGCGTTGCCACGCGCCCTCGCGTCGTGGCGCGAGAAGCCACGGCGAGGCGCTTTGGCTGCTGCTCTCTTCGGCCTCTATGGGGGCCCTCACGGGGACCCAGGGGCCGTCGAGGACAACGGAGCAGGAGGAAGAGACAGGTCCCAGGGAAGGGGTCGAGGCCTTGCTCTGGAGTCCACGCCCTGGAAAGACTAGTGGAAACCCATGCGAAGAAACACCCTGCTTGCCTCCAGGGTGCCCTGTGTTTCTTGTGTTTCGATGGTTTCGCGATGGAAAGCGTGACGTTCCCACACCAAAAACCAATGGCCGACCTGGGGTCTCAGGGTTGGGTTTCTTGTGGAAGGTTTCTTGTGGTCGCGCTCCTACTGTATGTCAGGGGTGTGGGGAAGCATGGAGGGATTGAAGCTGGATTGTGCTCGTACTTCTTGGGTCGCATGAGGATGCCTTCGTCGCCAGAGCTGCACGTGCCTCAAAATCCTTGTCAGAGCACGCTTCAGGTCGGGGGGTCGATCTTGAAGGGGGAGGAGAGGGGTCGACCTCGAGCAAGGAGGAAGGTTGGAAGACGCTGTTAATCCACTTGCGCCGATCCTGGCCTGTCCATGCTGGGTCCAAGATCTTTGCATATGCCTTCTTGCCCCAGCCAGGATATCGTATATACTGACCCTGGGCCCATGTTTAGGTCGGGCATGTCCTCCTGCAGGCGGATTTTGGACGAAACATAAAACATAATCAAACACTATTCCCCAAATGCTCAAACATAGTCAAAACATCGTCCCCAGACTATTTTTGGACTATTATTGGATATTCCTCCTGTAGAGGGACGTGCCTGCCTTAGTTTGCGGACGTCTTCGAAAGGTGCTCGAGGTGCTTGAACGCTCAGAAGCCTCAAGACGACGGTAATGGTGATGTTACGACAGCGCATGAAGGCGCCAAGCCGACGTTTGCAGAGAGCGAGAGGCGGACCATAAACAAGTACCCTTACCCTCCGCTCGCCAGATCGACACCTTCCCCGGCAATTCCGACGCTGCGGCAGGGGAGGCAGGGGTGGGTGAGTGGGAAGAGGCTGCTGCTCTCCGTGAAGCTCTCTGTCATGCAGACCCGCGAGGCCTCCGAGCCTCCTCTGCACTCCCTGGCCTAAAACGCGAACTCCAGGATCTGGGAGGAGGAGGAGGAGGAGGAGGAGGAGGAGGAGGAGGAGGAGGAGGAGGAGGAGGAGGAGAAGGGGGAGGAGGAGGAGGAGGAGGTGGAGGTGGAGGAGGAGGGAGGAGGAGGAGGAGGAGGAGGAGGAGGAGGAGGAGGAGGAGGAGGAGGAGGGGGAGGAGGAGGAGGAGAGGAGGAGGAGGAGGAGGAGGAGGAGGAGGGGGAGGGGGAGGGGGAGGGGAGGGGGAGGGGGAGATGGAGGAGGAGGAGGAGGAGGAGGAGGAGGAGGAGGATGAGGAGGAGGAGGAGGAGGAGGGAGGAGGAGGAGGAGGGATGAAGGGGAGGAGGGGAGGAGATGAGGGCTCCGTTACGCCCGCGTGCGTCTCTTCCAGCGTCTTGCGGGTGAGCGGTGCGAGATCCGAGACCAGCGGTGAGTCCAGCAGGGCCAGCTTCTTCATCACGCCCTGCACCACGTCCTGCGACCACGGCAGACCTCCTCCTCCTTCTCCTCCTCCTCCTCCTCCTGCCTCCTCCTCCTCGCCCCCCGCCCTCTTTCTCCTCCTCGCCACTCTTCCCCTCCTCCTCCTCCTCCTCCTCGCCCTCTTTCTCCTCCTCGCCCCTCCTCCTCCTCCTCCTCCTCCTCCTCCTCCTTTTGCCTCCTCCTCCTGCCCCCTCGCGCCGCACGCCGCGGGGGTCCGCGGGGGCCCCCGCGCGCGCCGCGCCCGAGCGCCAAAAGGCGCCCGGCAGGCCAGCAGCCCGTCCTGCGGATCCAGCTGCCCCGCCCCTCGGAGAGAGGGAGGATGGGGAGGGAGGAGGAGGAGGGAGGAGGAGGGAGGAGGGGGAGGAGGAGGAGGAGGAGGAGGAGGAGGAGGAGGAGGAGGAGGAGGAGGAGGAGGAGGAGGAGGAACCGATCGACACGGCGCGAGTCGAAGGCGGCGGGCCTGGTGCCAGAATCGGCGGCGAGGGAGGGGGGGAACCGAGAAGGAGGAGGCCTCCTCAGCGGGCGGCGGGACTTCTCGGGCGCCTTCCGAGGAGTTCTTGGTGTCTTCGGGGAAGGCCCAGAAAACTTCCCAGAGGGCCGGGGGACTTCCGAGCCTTCTGAAAAGGTCTTCTCCTTCTCACTTCCCCTCCTCGCTCTCCGCCGATCTTGAGCCTCAGCCGATCGGCATGGCGCGAGTCGAAGGCGGCGGGCCCAGTGCCAGAATCGGCGGCGGAACAAGCAGCCTCTGCGGCGCTCACGGGGCTACCACAAACCGCCTCGGCTCTCTCGCCTGTGGCGCCTCTCCCGGGCCTCACCGCTCAAAGAATGACCCGGCCTCCTCCCGCCATCCCCTGAGATCCGACGCTGCAAAAAAAAATGCAACATCGCAACAAATCACGCCCAGAGCCCTGGACCGTGTCTTTCTGAGTCATTTTTCGAGCAGGATCGATCTGTGAGGGTCCCAGGGCCCGAAATTGAGCTAAAACCCCCGTTGTCTAAAAAAAATGCAACGCCAGGATCTCATGGTCTGGCCGTGAGGCCCTTTCCCGGCCACGCACCTCTTCCTCTCCGGAGCGCCGCTGCCGCCGCCGCTGCCTGCGCAGGTTCGGGCAGTCTCGAAGCCCTCGCGACGCTCGCAGCTGCGAGATTGGGCCGCTCCGCCGAGCAGGAGACACATACTCCATCGCACTTCGGCGCTCCTTGGGGGAACCAGAAGGTACCGATACCGCCACTCCCTGGACCTCTCCCGGGGTGCGTTCTGGCCAGAATCTCGAGGACAATCCAGCGGTGGCGATGGGGGCCTCCCAGGAGGCCCACAAGGAGGAGAACGAGCACAGGGCAGCGCTATGGGTACCTTTTGCTCCTCTGACTCCTACCCTCCCCCCCCCGATGCCGAGGTTGCACCGCCTCGGGCTCCCCGCCGCGTGCGGGAGGGGGTGGAGGAGGAGGAGGAGGAGGAGGAGGATGAGGAGGAGGAGGAGGAGGAAAAAGAAGAGGAACGGGGGGAGGCGGAGGAGGAGGAGGAGGATCGGGAGGAGGAGGAGGAGGTGGAGGAGGTAGAGGAGGAGGAAGAGGCCTAAGAGGATGGGGAGGGGGAGGGGGAGATAGAGGCGGAGGAAGAGGAGGAGGAGGAGGAGGAAGAGGAGGAGGAGAGGAGGAGGAGGAGGAGGAGGAAGAGGAGGCAGAGGAGGATGAGGTGGTGGAGGAGGAGGCGGAAGAGGAGGGGGAGGGCGAGGGGGAGGGGGAGATGGATGATGATGATGATGCTGCTGATGACAATGATGATGCTGATGATGCTGAGGATGATGGTGATGCTGATGATGACGATGATGGTGATGGTGATTGTGGTGGTGATGATGATGCTGCTGATGGTGATGATGCTGCTGATGATGATGCTGACGATGATGATGATGGTGATGATGATGATGATGAAGGGAAGGAGGACAAGGAGGAGGAGGTGGATGAGGAGAAGGAGGCGGCGGAGGAGGGTGAGGGTGCGGGTGAGGGTGAGGGAGAGGGGGAGGAGGGGGATATGGAGGAGGAGGAGGAGGAGCAGGAGGAGGAGGTGGAGGAGGAGGAGGGGTAGGAGGAGGAGGAGGAGGAGGCGGATGAGGAGGGGGAGGGGGAGGGGGACGTGAGAGGGGGAGATGGATGATGATGCTGCTGCTGATGATGCTGCTGATGATGATGCTGATGCTGATTATGTTGATGATATGAGTAATGAGGATTATGATGCTGTTGATGAGGATGATAACGATGATGATGGTGATGAGGATGCTGCTGCTGATGCTGATGATGCTGACGATGAGGAGGATGATGAGGTGGATGAGGATGATGGGGAGGCGGAAGAGGAGGGTGAGGGGGAGAAGGAGGGGGAGGGGGCGATGGAGGAGGAGATGGAGGAGGAGGGGGAGGAGGAGGAGGAGGAAGAGGAGGAGGAGGAGGAGGAGGAGGAGGAGGAGGAGGAGGAGGAGGAGGAGGAGGAGGAGGACATTCTGGACATTCTGGACAATGAGGGCTCATGGGCAGCCACAAGAGTGATATCACACGACATGTCCAAGCACTATGCAAGCACATTGGTGACAGAAAAAGAGAGAGACGAAGGGCCCAAATCACCTCGTCACGCCGTCTGAGCCTCGCCCTGCCGCACAGCAGGGAAGGGCATGAGCTCGGCAGGCTCGGACCCGCTCCTCATTCGTGAGACGGGGAGGGGGAAGAGGAGCCTCGACCGCAGCAGCAGCAGAGAAGAGAAGAGGCCTTCAGCTGGCACGGCACGACGAACAGCACGGCGAAACCTCGCCTGCTCGCGGCGGCGGGCGATGGCCTGCCGCAGCTCGGTGGTGAGCTCCACTCGTGTGTGTGTGTGTGTGTGTGTGTGTGTGTGTGTGTGTGTGTGTGTGTGTGTGTGTGTGTGTGTGTGTGTGTGTGGGGGGGGGGGGGGGGAGGGGGGGTGGGGAACCCAGGGGTCCCCAGTCGCCTCCAAAGTCCTCAGCATCCCCTCTTCGGCCCAAGGATCGGGTTCATCAGGCCAGAGATCCGAGCCATCATCCTCCTGGGGCTCCAGGGGGGGCTCGGGACATGGCACATCGCCATGGTCCTGGGGGGCCTGAGGGACAGCAGGGCGGTCAAATCTGAGGTCCCTGGGCCCCCGATCACTGAAACCAGCAAAGTCAAGAGCAATATCGTCATTGGGGGCTGCAACAACATAGGAGTCGAAGGCCTGGAAAAAAAACTGGCTCAGTCCATCCGGAAGATCCGTGGGGTCCAGGGCTTCGCGGTCACTTAGCCGATAAGCCTCTGCAACAAACTCCGATACTGCACGTCCCATTGCTGCACGCAGCGCCTGAGGGTGCCTTTTTTGGGGCGCAGTCCTCCATTTTCCTGTGTCGGGGTCGATGCCGAGCAACGTGGTGTGGGTGTTCTTTGGATGGTCGCATCGTCCCCCTCTTCCCTGTCCCCAAATTTCGTCCCCAATGGAGTCGAGTCTTATGCGCAGGAACGTCGTTGGGGCCTTACTGGCCTGTCCGAAAACAGATTGGTCGAAACTGAACGTTCTGGCAGGAGGGGCAGCGCGCAAGGCACGCGCCGTGGCAGACTGCCACGGGCTGCGGGCACGAGGCTCCCAGTGGGCCTCCTCTGGATGCTCTTTCAGTGCGCGCGCGCCTACCTCCAGGCAGGTCAGCGTCAGCTGGTGCTGGCTCAGCAGGAGCTGCGTTCCAATTGAGAGCTGCAAATGCTGACGGCTCGAAACATCAGGGCGACCCCATCTGTGTTTAAGACTACGAAGAGGGGCTGGGGGGCGAAATCGATCAGCAACTCGAAGCTCCTGCCATCGCGCAGCTGACCAGGTCTCGCACGGCGAGCCTCCTATGAGGCCTATAGTACGGCCTGATCTCAGGAGCACATCCCACTTCTGCACAATATCTGCACGAGTCAGATCACCATTCACCGCATCACAAGCCACATCACAGGAAATGATAATGACGGACACGGGCCCACGGACCAGCACACTCTCAAGCTCCTCTTGCACATCTCCTGTCCTCCGGGCTCCTGAGAACATATGTAAAAAGACAAGCACAGCATGCCGTAGCGGTCGTGGGCAGCGCTCAGCCGCTGGTCCGTCATAGGCTAGATGTTCAAATGCATGCTCGTCCTCCAGTGGGGGCTCGTAGTGGGGTACCTCACTCTGGACCTCAAAGATGGGCTCTGGGGCGTCCTCGTACTGGTATTCCATACTGCGTATGACCTGCCAGGCGTCCACATAGGGCAGCTGGGTGGCTTGGGGAGCATTCCGAGGTCCAGGAACTCGATAGGCAGGGAGCCGGGCTCCCCGTCGCATGGCCCCTTTTTGTCGGGCCTGTTTCCTCTCCGAAGCCTCCAAGGCACGTGCCTCCTCCAAGACCTCTGAAGCCTCAGGGTTCAGGAACAGGAGGGCCGAGATGAAGCAATTGGGGTTGCCGTGCGCCAGGTGATCAATACTTAGTTCCACAGAGCTAAACCTTATCAGACAGATAGGGCACGTACTACTATGTATATATCGGGCGGCAACATCACGCTGCCTATGATGGAGTCGATCAATATGAGATTTGACTGCAGCGCACTTCGGGGACAGGAACGGGCAAAACGGACAGCGATGCACAACAGGCACAGGAGCCGGTCGCAGAGACAGATCTGGCGCACTCCAATACTCGCAGCATGCTGAAAAACAACCCGGCGTGCGTCGCTTGGCATCCTCGATACGGCTGGCCCAACGGATATGTGCTTCAATCCCAGACCGAACCAGGTTCGCCCAGTGCTGCCCCCTTCCCATGATCTCCTTCTCCCATGGCCCAAACTCCGAGAACGGACTTGGGAACTCACGAAGCCGAGAAACCCGAGTACGGAGCCATCTCAAATCATTCAAAACCATGTTGAACCACGAGTGCTTCGGCTCGGACGTAGCCCGAATCAACCCAAAGAGAGCCCCAGGAGCGTGCCTATAAAGACGGGTAAGAT